CATGTATTTGTATATGTATACACGTTTATATATATATGTGTGTGTTCTATTTTTTTGTAAGAGAATGAAGTTGTCGCACTCTTGAAAACTCATTTCGTTTATCTCAATTATCAGTTATGACCGCAAAATGTGGACTCTGAATTCTTGAATGCATGTTCATATATATTGCACTTATTAGTATTCATGTGTGAGATCGTGTTAGTGTGAATGAATGTCTGCTAAGGTGAATTTGAATAAAAATTCAGTTCAGTTCTAGATATTTCCGTTGATATCTATGAATACACATTTTGCTGCACCTCATTCCACTTGGTTGCCCATCCATCAATTTGCAGGTATCGCACTAGCGTTAGCATCTCGTGGATGTAATGTCACTATCGCAGGTCGAACACCTAAAGATGTACTGCCGTTGCTAAAAGCTGCCGGAAAGGACGGCACACACGAGTTTATTGCTGTCAATGGATTCGATTTAAAAACACTGGACGATCTGCCTGCACCTGATCTGTTGGTAATGACACACGGCATGGCCACTACTCAGGGATATACCCCAACAGTCGACGGCATTGACCAGAAATTGCAGCTGCACTACTTCTCCCGGTTATACATCGCCCGAAAATTAGCCCCTAAAATGCCTGAAAATGGGCGTATCATCACCGTTTTGTCGGCCGGAGTGCATTCCCGGTATCCAAAATTTAATGAAGACTTTACACTGGAGAAGAACTACAGTGTTACAAATGCTGCCGATGCAGCAGGGTTCTATACCGATGCCGGGTTTGAAAAATTGGCGGACGATTTCCCAAATTTGGTGGTGTGTCATGCGTCACCAGGATTTGTCAGCACCAATTGGGGTACCGAGATGCCCTGGTATGTTAAAGGACCCGTGCGTGTACTCCAGGTGTTCGGTAAGAGTCTGGAGAAGTGTGGGGAAATAATAACCAGTAGCTGGCTGGATCTATCGCCCGGAAAGTATAATACAATCGATCAGAATGGCAAGCCGTGCAAGACTAAGGTGTTGCACACGCCAGCGGAGCGAGAAATCATCGTGAGCAAAACAGACGAGCTGCTAGGCTTGGCGTGATTCATTTTTCCGTAACACATCACAACCTCGGCCTGAGCCCTCGCTCGCTTCCCGGTATCAATTCTCTCCTTATGCAATAAATTATATAGCATGACTGAGTACTTGTCTTTTCAATACGTACAGGCAGCGTAATGTGTGAGTGAATGTCTTGCATGATCTTGTGATTCTCACGCAACCAGACGTTATCTCCATAACTTTTACTCTATACTATTTTTATGTATATATCCACTATTTGTTGCGCGATAACGTGTTCTCAACTTCTCACTGTGCAGACCATTGTACTTTTCATTTTCCTATTTTAAAAAAAAGACAGATTTCACAAATGCAACATAGATTTGTAATCCTCACTCGATTTGATAGTAGGCTGATGTTTTAAAGCTCTTCCACTGACTATGGGTCGCATACGAACGGCTATTCACAAATCTGGGGTGCAAACGAGACGGCTATTTAGATTTTTTTTAAAACGACTGTTCTTTTCGACTTATGAGTAGAGACGCATATTTACGCAAATCCAAACCTATACATTTATTTGGTCGCTCCGGTCATAAATTGCTGCTTGCCAGAGTATATTTTTCAATATGTATACCCTTCTTGAATAAAAAGCGCTGTCAGAAAGCTATGCGGGTGACAGCTGGCTACATATCAACATATGCTAAATAGCCTATATGCTTTTATTGCACTTGTTACTTATATATTGTGTCTTTTTTATAAAAAAACAAAACCAAATAGCTTTTCTGTGTGTATCAGTAAATATATCACATACATACAAACAAATTTATCTATCGTCAATTTGGCCATTTTTGGAAGCAAGATCGGCTCTTCAATCTTCATCCAATAGATCAATGAAAATTATATGAAAAATAAATTACATAGTCTGCATTGTCCAATGGGAGTTTAGAAATCTAGAAGCTCACAACGCAAAAAGTCTAAAAGTCGCAGAGTGGGGGAATATCAGTGGACGATCTTGTAGTCTGAATTCTGAAATTCCGAATTTCAGATAAAGCTGGGAAGCCGCGGCCCGCGGGGACTGAATTTCTGAGAGCTTTTTAAAAAATCGTAAGGGTAAATGAATCTATTTGCTCATATTCACAGCAGGCTAAAAATATATCTCCCAACAGACCCACAGCAGTGACAGCACCCCATACACTCAATACAGTCATACACCCAAGAAGAGAGCACGGACGATTTGTTATCAATCTTGAATCTTCCCCCCAAAATTGAAAATCTGGCCATTGCCCTAAGACTACAAATAGTTTCTAATTATTTTGTTTTAAAAATAAAGATAAAAATGCATTTCTTTTTTTAATCTATGATACACCGAATAATTACTTTGAAAAATAAACTCCAAATGGGGAAAAAGCGTTCCAGACAATTTCCAAAATTAGGGACACTTTTATGTATTGTTTCGGTCGTACGACTAAGGTCAGACTCTTTAACAAAATATCATACCGCCCGTGCAGCCTATTGGTCCTAGATCATTACAAATACTTCCCATTGGTCCTCAGCATCCACTGATGACTCTATTGCAACTTTTGCCATCCCAAAACTACAGTATTCTCCATAATATAGCAGTTATATGGACTAGTTTCGTGAAAATTGGTCAAACACGGGATCGTACTTTTTACACGTTTTTTACGACTTTGTTTGACCCTTGTGCCTTCCGCACTGAGAACGTGAATCAATTGGATATCGTAAAATCGACCCATAATATTATTGGTCGTCCCGCCCGCGGAATTTGCACTATCTACAGGGTCGTACATTTTCAATTTTGAATACAATATACGCACAAAAACCCACAAAACTACTATATAAAGCATACTATAACCATGCCTAATCCAGAGAATCTGGTAGCGTACAACACAATTACTCGTAAATTCCTAAATTGGTTTAGACCTAACTACAACTTTGATCAACATACTGATTTGAAAGCAAATAATGACAACTTGAGAGAAATACTTTTGGCTATTCAGCCAGACGATCTCTGTCGATATTTCAATGAACTTACATATGGTGTCCAGGTTCATGGACCAGACGATAGACCTACTTTGAAAAGGGCTAACGGTATTCTCTTCGATAAGAAGGCGATATCATGGTTCATGCCACGAAATGATGAGTGGGACTTAGTAGATGAGAAGGGTAACCCAACTAAATCACTGGCGCTGAACAATCTATTTATATATATTTTTAATTTAAAAAATACATACACACAATCTACAGCTAAAATTCTAAATAAGCATCAGCCTCAGGTCCTCAGCCCTCAGGTTACACTACATACTACATAGTACATACTAGTACTACATAGTATTTAGTATTGTACATACCCTCACCGGCGCCCGGGCTCACCCTGCTGGTCACCTGATGGGCATATTAAATACTCTAGAGAGTAGCGAGAGAGAGAGTACATACCTTGTATAGTTTTACTACTTTTTTTTAGGACAACATATTTACTATGTACCTCCGTGTGATAGTTCTACCAAGTTCTCGAAATCTCGAGTCCATTCATCTATGCAATAATTTTTCACAATAAAAAAAGTCAATTGTGGATATAGTTCATAGTTGTCTTGTGTCTCTTGTAGTAGTCGACTTACGTGAGAGTTCGACTAATAATCAGGCAATCACTACACTCAGACCACACTGAGTACACTCCATGTCCTGGACTCTGGAGTGGTGACCTGATAATTTTCGATGAGGTCCATCCAGAGGGCCATGAGTTAGCGTTGCGAGTTCTCTCCCCAGGGCCCAGGTCTTGATAGAATCCCGGGAAGATGGTGTATAAAAATGGACCAATTGTCTACAATTCATACACTTTCCAAAGAAAGTTTTCAAAGAAAGCTTACTTGACAGCATAAACTATGAAGTTTCAGGTTACACTTGCATTGGTGGCCCTCTCAGCATGCCACGGTCTTGTCTACCTCGATGAAACTAATTACCCGTTAAGAACTGCAGCATGTCAATACGTCATGGAAGACAGCTCCTATTACACGGGCAAATGGATCGCAACCGGCAGAGGAAGATCTGGGGATGAGTACCATTCTTGTTTGACCGAAGAGGAAAACAGCGTCCTCTGTCTTACATGGAACTATGTTGAGGACTGCTATGACTACACAAACGGAGTGAAGTTCGATACGAATCAATTTCACGAATGTAGCGAAAACGCGTCAGGCCTATCGCATTCGTGGTGCTACAGGGCACTTGAATCCAGGTGGGCTAACTGTATTTACAGTTACAACCGAAACTCACAGTTCCATGAACAATGGGTCATCGCTCATTCTTACGACAACGATGGTACTTACTGCTACGACTATAACGGGAAGTGCATTGCTTATGATAGCTTCGACGAATGCCAGGATACTGCAGATCAGTTACAAGTTTGGTATGAGGAAGATGGTATCGATCGTTTAGGAAAACGGTGCACCAGTGTGGATGAAAGTTCGGGATGGTGTTATGCCGCATTCCTGATACTAGGAGACGGGAGTAAGGACGGCGAATGAGATTGGAGTCTTAGCTCTTTGCACGTGCACTGACGGCCAGAGTGCAGATGAGAAACAAATTCAATTCGTCACAGTACAACAAATAGAGATATATAAGTACTATGATGCTTATGTATTAAACCATACAATACCCATCAGTTGTTGTTCATCGTCAAAATACGTCACTGCCAGAGTGTCATCCAGATCAGGAGATTTCGATAGCTGTAAAATTTGAGATTGAGATTACAATGGCAATCATCATAGCTCCACAACCAATATACCTTTAACGATGTATCAATGTCTTTTGAATCTATGCGCTACTTCGATACTATGAATAACATATATATAGCCGTTTCTAGGTCAGTATGTGTTGTAAAGCTTTAGCAATCTGTGCACTCGGCGATATCATTTTCACAATCATCAAAAAAATAAAGACTCGGAACTTCACGATTTATTCACGTAGAAAAAACACATCCGTTATTCTAATCACGATCGAGTCCACAGTTTCATCAGCTCTGCAGTTTTTTGAATCTATCTGCAAGTTCGCCAAAGTCACTATCGCTATCATCATCGCTATCCATCGGCGGAGGAGGTGGGGGTGGCAGAGTGTCGTCTGACGGGGGCACGTGCGACGATGAGTTGAACCTTTTATTGAGCTCTGCGTGACGAGATTTGATGTTTGGACCTCTAGTTAGTGACATTGTTGAATTGTTTATTGAACTGTGTCAAACGCGTCATATATGAACTTTGATCATTGCAGAGATGGACCATCTATTGAGCTCTGAGAGGCACATACTGGACGATACGTACCGAGTATGTGTACTTGTTTAGGCTGTTGTAAGCACAATAAATGAGTGATGTATGTGGTGGAGCTCAATTTCTTCGCTGACTATGTGTTGAAATGAAGACATAAATGTGCGCGTGGCAACAGTTGTATGCGTGTGTTATATTGATTTTGAAAAAAAACACCGTATTGCTTTCTGTTGTATAAAAGGCACTTTATAAAATATAATACAAGGAACATGCGAGTAAACAGTGCACACGTGGCTCCACATCACCTATTATCTAAGACCCACAACCACATCACTCGCGCGTTTCGTGGCCCCACATCGTCCACTATCTCTAAAACCCATAAAACGTATTAATCGCGCGTTTCAGAGCGTACTATATAGTCTTAATAACTCTCAGTATAGAATCGCACCGATTTGGATCTATGTAGGTATACAGTGTAGTACGTTCAATAATTATGAACTACAACGGGGGGGAAGCATAAATTTCTCAATTAATATACATATAGGCTCATCCTTGAGGCAGAAATGATGCAAATCGCAAATCATCCACGCACTTATCAGAGACTAAATCTCATGTCCGTATGTGTAAATGAATGGTGCCACTCGAAAATAAGTGCGCCGCTAAGTGCTGAAAACATACAGTGACTCATTATGATAATATAATTTGATATAAAAATAAAAATATAGTGTTGCAGATATGACAGTAGTCACACAAATCTATACATATGTTATGTGCATACGTACATGTGCATGGATTTTGTCCAAGATATACTAAATTACGACCACACAGTCCGTATGGCACAACGATGGACAATCCAGACTCGTTTACCATTTAGCGGTATGTAAGAATATAAGTTCAAACTTATGATTTATATTGACGTCCAATTGTGTCTTAAATACATGGATATCACACACCTTGAAAAGGTCCCATTATGTTACTCTGAGTGCATGTGAACATGCACGAGCTGATGCAAACAAGTTTGTTGGATAATAATAAATTGATGTCTGCACGTGTTATTGTATGTGTCTGTGTACGTGATAGTGAATTTAATACTCAAGTATGCTAATATGCGGGCAGATTTGTGCTATATGAAGCTAGCATTATATCGACATATTATTTATGGACGGCAAACTCAAAGTATTGTATACATATATACAAATTACATGTGTAGTACACGTGTAGTAAGTACAGTATAGGATGTCAACATCGAACATACACACGGCGTCTATCACTAGTCACACAGAAACACACCTGCAAAATCACCATCATCGTCGTCGTCCTCACTAGCATTGTTTGGCGCTGCGGTTGTATTTGTTGGCGGCGTAGGTAAGTTCCGAAGCTCATCGTCCACATCGTGTTGTGCGGTATTTGTTTCTTGCTGCAATAAAATGAATGAATAAAAACGTAAGACATGAGGGAGAGTTGAAAGGGATAATGCTACAAGAGAGTAACGATGTTTTACGGAGAACGCCTTAAGTCTCATATGCAACGGTAGGTATAGACACGTGCGGAAGGACACAACGATTGAAAATTTACCTCGCCCATGCCAATCAGATCAAATGCGCAGGGATACTAAGTGAAGCTTAATTGTATGCGTGTACGAATAAGGAAGATGTTCATACACATGGACATGTCTTGAAATGAGGCAGTAATAAAATACTTTCACTGACAAATGTCTAATTTGAACAAATCCATACTAATCTAGACCAAGAGATACTTGTTCGCATCCTTTCGCTATTAACAACTTATAGTTTGAACTTGTTAACACACTTCCGCTACATAAAAATTGCTCGTTAACATTTGCAATCAATTTCGTGTGTCAGTACATATGTCTATACGCATGCATGAATCTGTCCGTTAATACTAAAAAACAAGATCAAACTACGTCGAAAAAAGCAATTCAGATCAGCAGCGAAAACAAAACCATATATA